CCCGGGAAAAGCCAAGCACAAGCCAGTAACGACATGTCCGTTGCTCGGAAACTCACACCAAACACTACATTCTCATCCCTATCTCTCGACAAATTCATCAAATCCCGGAAAAACCTCTCCAAGCCCACACCGAAACTCTGGCCTGACGTTGTCAAGCGACGAATTCTAATCCCAAACGATGAAGAATTTGACGTATTGACGTTAGCCCATCCGATTCTGCGCAGACTGGAGTCGTGCAACGTCAGAGAATCCAACCAAGTCCATGCTCAGCTAGTTGTTGTTGAGCGTCAGAGGCGCGGCAACAATATTGATTTGATGAAAGGAATTTTTGAAGGTGAAACAATCGCAATTCGCGTCTTTCTATTGCATGTCTCAATTACAAGAGAAATAGACTATATATAAACCATAGTTTGATTCGAAATAGGAAACCTCTTTCTAGGAAACCTATTCTAATTAGGAAATCTAATTGACTTAGAAAACTTTCCTAAAATATAACTAGAAACAATATCTCACAATATCTATCAAAATATGGAAATACGAACAGACTCAAAAAGGAAACAAGTACTAATAAATTTGGTTTAATTTCTAACACTCCCCCCTAAACCAAATTCTCTTCCATCAATCATTCCAAGCAGGCTCTTGAACTTTCGAAAAGCATCGATCTTGAGAGGTTTAGTAAAAATATCTGCTACTTGATCTCCGGTCTTCACATGCAATACTTCAACTTCATTCTCTTTAACCTGTTCTCGGATGAAGAGATATCGAACATCGATATGTTTACTTCGTTCATGAAAAACTGGATTTTTCGCCAAAGCAATAGCAGAAACATTATCAACAAAAATCTCCATTGCTTTCTTCTGCTCCATAAGAATATCTTTGAGTAGTCTTCTCAACCATATTGCATGACAAACGCATGAAGATGCAGCTATATATTCAGCTTCACACGTCGACGGAGTAACACTTGATTGCTTCTTTGATGACCACGTGAAAGCAGTGTCGCACAAGAAAAATACAAATCTCGTGGTGCTTTTTCGATTGTCGATATCTCCATCGTAATCACTATCCGAATAAGCTCTAAGTTTGAAAGATTCAAAGCAATAATAGTGTAAACCATGAGAAATAGTACCTTTGATGTACCGAAGTATTCTCTTTGCAGCTTTAAGATGAGATGATTTCGGCTTCTCCATGTATCGACTAACAATTCCAACACTATACATAATATCCGGTCTCGTGCATGTCAAGTATCTCAAACTTCCAATCAAGCTTCTATAATATGTCGAATCAACATTGGCACCATCATCAAACTTCGAAAGCTTGGTTCCACACTCCATTGGTGTATTGACCGGCATACAGTTCTTCATGTTGAATTTTTCAAGGATATTTTCTGCATATCCTTTTTGGGAAATAAAAATCCCATCGGCACTTTGCTTCACTTCGATACCAAGGAAATAATTCATGAGACCATTATCGGTCATCTCAAATTCTTTCACCATCGATGCCTTAAAAGCATCAATCATCGCCGAATTATTTCCTGTAAAAACAAGATCATCAACATATAAACAGGCGAGTAGAATATCACCTTTTTCTTGCTTCAAATAGAGTGCATGCTCGTATGGATATTGAGAGAATCCATTCGCCTTGAAATATGCATCAAATCTGGAATTCCATGCTCTCAGTGCCTGTTTAAGCCCATATAGAGCTTTCTTCAACCTTAGCACTTTGTCTTCATAACCTTTCACAACAAACCCCTCGGGTTGTTCAATATAAATTTCTTCTTCAAGGATGCCATTCAAGAATGCTGATTTGACATCCATTTGATAAATTCGCCAATTATTTTGAACAGCAATGGAAATAATCAATCTAATCGTTTTCATGCGGATGACAGGAGCAAAAACTTCATCATAGTCGATTCCGGCTTTTTGCTTGTACCCCTTCACGACTAATCTAGCTTTGTACCTTGTTACTTCACCTTTCTCATTCTTCTTGGCCTTGTACACCCATTTAACACCAATTGATTTCTTGTCCTTCGGAAGATTAGCAAGCTCCCATGTTTGATTTTTCTTGATGGCTTCAATTTCTTCGTTCATGGCTTTCCTCCACTTTTCTTCTTTGGCCGCATCATCATAAGCAAGTGGTTCATAATCTGCAAGAAGACATATAAGATGAAGCTTTTCGATAGCTTCGTAAATTTCAGACAATCTTCTTGATCTTGGCACTAGCGGTTCATCGACACTATTTGAAGAGGATGGTGTTGATGAACTTGAATAAGATGTTGGAGAATAAGGTGAAGGTTGATCTTTCAACTCCGTTTGATCATAATCATCACGAACATTCGCTTCTTCTTTTAAATTTTCTTCCCACATTTCATCTTCATCGAACTTGACATCTCTACTTACATACACTTTCAAAGTGTTAGGGTCAAATAATCGATAGGCTTTGGATGATGAGTCATACCCGATAAAGATGAGCTTTTTGCTCTTGTCTTCAAGTTTCGATCTTTTTTGATCCGGGACATGAGCATATGTAATGCTCCCAAAAATTCTCAAGTGCGAAACACTTGGTGTTCTCCCGGTCCATGCCTCTTGTGGAGTTACGCCTTCAAGTCCATATGTTGGACATCTATTTTGAAGATAGACGGCACACGAAATAGCTTCTGCCCAAAGTTCCTTGGACAAATTTTTGCTCTTCAACATGCTTCGAACCATATCAAGAATGGTTCTATTTTTCCGTTCAGCCACACCGTTTTGTTGAGGAGAATACGGGGCCGTCAAGAAACGTCGAATACCATGATTTTCATAGAATTTGTTGAATATGGCTGAGGTGAATTCTCCACCACAATCAGTCCTCAAAGCCTTGATAAAATAGCCGCTTTCCTTTTCAGCCAGGTTCTTGAATTGTTTGAAAATATCAAACACTTCTGTCTTTTCTTTCAAAAAATACACCCAAGTTTTCCGAGTAAAATCATCAATAAAAGTAACAAAATATCGATGATTACCATATGAGTGAGGATTGATCGGGCCACACAAATCATAATGAATCAACTCAAGCGGCTTTTTCGCTCGATAAGTCGCCTCCTTCGGAAAGCTAGTTCTGGAATGCTTGCCGATAACGCACCCTTCACATAATTGATCGGGATGATCAATATGTGGTAAGCCATAAACCATCTTCTTGCAAGAAAGCAAATTGAGTCCGCCAAAATTAAGATGGTCAAACCTCAAATGCCACAACCATGAAGGATCATCTATGCACGTCTTTAGACATCGAGACATCTCACTCTTTATATTAAGAATAAACATCATGTTCTTCGACATCTTCACATTTGCAATCAATTTATTATTCCGATCTCTCAACATAAGATTAAGATCTCTCATATGAACAGTATAACCTTTCTCCAGAAGTTGTCCCAAACTCAAGATATTGCTTGACATTTTTGGAACATAATAAACATTAGTAATAAACTGACGTGCACCATTCTTTAAGCGAATCAAAATTGTACCTTTCCCTTCAACAAGAATTTTAGAGTTATCACCGAATGAGACATTCCCTTTAATTGTCTCATCTAACTCGGCAAACATCTCCTTTCTCCCACACATGTGATTACTTGCGCCGGTATCCAAATACCACGTATCGCTTTGACCTTCTTCATCTTCTTTGAATGCCAATAAGAGAACTTGATCATCATTATTTACCAAGTTCGCCTTTTCGTCTGGTCTGCTACTTTCTTTATTCCAGCAGTTAGAAGCATAATGGCCAAGTTTATTGCAATGATAACATCGGATTTTAGATTTATCATACCATTGGCTTGTCGAGTTCTTTCCTCTTCCACGAACACCTCTTTGGTAACGGTATCCTCCATCACTTCAAGCAGGATCTCCTCTGCTTCGTCCGCGACCTCTTCCTCGAAAGTGACCTCGGCCACGACCTCGATCACGATCTTGATTTGTCCCGCGATTTTGTACGGGATCTCTTCTTTGCTCCTTTTCATCTCGTATGGTCAACTGCGTTTGGAGAACTTCCTCCACCAGTTCAATCTTTTTCTTTCTAAACCTTTCTTCATGGGCTTGTAATGAACCCATAAGTTCATCGACCGTCATGGCATCCAAGTCTTTGGATTCTTCTATTGCAACCGCAATATAATCATACTTCTTGTCTAAGGACCGAAGTATTTTCTCAACAACACGAACATCGGAAACTTCTTCTCCGTTTCTTTTCATCTGATTAACAATTGCCAAAATTCTCGTGAAATAATCAGCAATCGATTCAGATTCTTTCATACGAATTACCTCGAATTCGCCTCTCAAGGTTTGAAGGCGAATCTTCTGAACTTTCTGAACTCCTTGATGTGTGTTTTGAAGAATCTCCCATGCCTCTTTAGCGGTAGTGGCGTTAGAAACTTTTTCGAACATGGAATCATCTAACGCTTGATAGATGATCGACAGGGCATATTGATCTTTCGTTCGAGCATTCTCCAAGGCATTCCTATGATTCTGGTTCAACGTAGCTTCATCCTCTGGCTCATCATAGCCAGTGTTAACAAATTCCCACACACCGTAGGCGCCGAGTAGAGCTTTCATTCTAACAGCCCAGTTACCATAATTTTCTTTGGTAAGACGAGGGTATTGAAGAGGAAGCTGATTGTTCGTTGAGGCCATGATCACGAACCGTAAGCTCTGATATCAATTTGTTGAGCGTCAGAGGCGCGGCAACAATATTGATTTGATGAAAGGAATTTTTGAAGGTGAAACAATCGCAATTCGCGTCTTTCTATTGCATGTCTCAATTACAAGAGAAATAGACTATATATAGACCATAGTTTGATTCGAAATAGGAAACCTCTTTCTAGGAAACCTATTCTAATTAGGAAATCTAATTGACTTAGGAAACTTTCCTAAAATATAAATAGAAACAATATCTCACAATATCTATCAAAATATGGAAATACGAACAGACTCAAAAAGGAAATAAGTACTAACAAATTTGATTTAATTTCTAACAGTTGTCAGTCATCTCTCTAAGCACTCTCTTGCCACAAACCGAGCAGTGAAGAAGCTCTGTTCTTTACGTGAGGTTGCTCATGCAGCTACGTTCTTCAAGTGTACCCAAGAGCCTGATGTTTTTCTGTGCAATACTATTATGAGAACTTATGTCCACATGTATGATGCGTGCAGTGCTATGAGATTTTATTATGACGAAATGGGGGGGAATGATGTTGCACCAAATCACTATAAGTTTCCCATTGTTGTGAAAGGTTTTGTGGTGATTGGATCATCGTCCGATGGAGAGAAGGTTCATGGCAGGGTGTTAAAACTTGGGTTCGAGTCGGATTTATTCGTGAGGAATGCGTTGATTCCCATGTATTCGGTTTTTTGAAAAGCCAGGAGTGCGCGCTCGGTGTTTGATGCAGGGCCTGTGTTGGATTTGGTTAGCTGGAATTCCATGATTGATGGTCATGTGAAGAATGGGGAAGTGGATGTTGCTCGCGAGCTTTTCGATGAAATGACTGAAAGGACGTCTTCAGTTGGAACTCGATGATTGCAGGTGGTGTTGCGCGAGGGGACATGAGCAAGGCACGACGGTTGTTTAGTAGAACGCTGTTTAGGGACATCGTGTCGTGGAATTGTATGATTGATGGGTGTACAAGGATTGGAAACGTGTCAAAGGCTCACAGCTTTTTGATTCAACACCTTTTCAGAATGTGGTTTCGTGGAATACCTTGTTGGCTCTCTACGTACGTGTTAAAGCTTATACAGAGTTTTGAGTTTGTTTGATAGAATGCTACAAGAGGAAGAGATTGAACCCAATAGGGCTACTATTGTGAGTGCTTTAATTTCGTGTGCCAATACAGGGGACCTCAATAAAGGCCACTTAATATATGCTTACATGAAGGATAATGAAATTGAAGCTGACGTGCTGCTTTCAACTGCGCTATTGACAATGTATGCAAAATGTGGCACTATGAATTTAGCCAAGAAAGTGTTTGATCAGATGCCTGATAGAAGTGTTGTCTCGGGGAATGCTATGATCGTGGGGTATGGATTACATGGGCATGGCGAGAAAGCCCTGGAAATGTTCTTGAGAGATGGAGAAGAGAGGTCCAATGCCAAATGATGCTACCTTTGTCAGGATATTATCTGCCTACACACATTCCGGAATGGTTTTGGAAGGTCGGTGGTGTTTCAACCTGATGTCTCGGGTTTACAATATCCAACCTAAGGTGGAGCACTATGGTTGCATGGTCGATCTTCTTGCTCGGGCTGGGCTGGTGAAGGATTCAGGAGAGTTGTTTAAAGAAGTGCCTACAGAGGCAGGATCTTCACAGCTCTGCTTTTTGCCTGTAGGACCCATTCTCACATCGAACTAAGAGAGATGGTGGCCAAGCATTTGATCGAGTTGGAACCAACAAATGTTGGGCCCTATGTGCTATTGTCAAAACATGTATGCTGCTGAAGGTAGTTGGGATGCCGTCAAGAATGTCAAGATGATGATGAAGGCAAAGGGTTTGCAAAAGGTAGGCGGGTCCAGCCTCATTCAACCTGGAGGCGTTGAATCTGCAAAGTCCACAAACGATGGCTTGCCCCATCAGAGAAGTATGATTTACTCGATTTTGAGTGAGATTGGTCCGCAGATAAAAGCGGCCTGTAGAAACTCTAGAGCAATAGAGGATCAAGAGTAGAGAGAGACTAAACCATATTGCTGGATTTTGTTTAACATCCGTGTTTTGTATATTTTGCAGGATTGAAGGTGAAGACATTCTGCAAAGAATATATATGTATGCCTGTTCGGCACTTCTCCAAGTTAAAGGAAAATCGCAGTATGCAAATTCATGAGTGCGCCCATCTTCAAGTTATTGAGAATTGTTGCTGGAACACTACTTTGGATGGAAGATACTGCGGGAACTCTTTACAGGTTGAGTTAATTCTACAAGCATCAATCGATGAAATTAAAATTTCAGAGCAGTAGTTGGACGGCAATATACATCAAGCAATCATCTCTTAAGTTGAAAGGTAATAAGCTCATTGATTAATTTGCCTTGAAGATGTTTTAGCTGTCGATATATTTATGTTGAACATTTAGCTGGTCTCCTCTCCTCCAGGCTCTAAATTGATTGCTTAGTTGGACAAAAAAGCAAAGAATATAGGGTTTAAACGGACAAAAAGAGTTCAGGGGCCCGACTGAACTTTTGTAAAAATTCAGAGACAATTTATGCATATATCTCTTTTCTGTTTTGGAAAATTTTTGTAATGGAACGAAATGAAGACTTTTTGTTCGACCTTTTTCTTTGGTTGTAACATCAATATGGTGGAAGATGAAATGTAAAGAGGATTCAAATAAATCTAATTTAAATTGGAAATATTTAATACACTTTTAGTTATTTAAATTATAGTTTGAACAACACAGTTGTGATTGGTTATGAGATAATTGACCAACCATCAATTGTGAATCGTGGTTATATATCTAAATTGATAATCTATACACTTTTATTGCCAATGCTTCATTAAAATTTGTAATTATGCTTTAGAATGCTTCATAACAAATACGCATTTGATTAGATACATTTTCTCAAAAGAGCAATCAGAAAGACAATTATCTCAAACGACCACCTACATTGATTAACCGTGTTCCAAAAGACCCAGTGCCTCATCGCCGATGACAAGCACTTCCCGGTGACCACATGTCATTCATGTGCCCCATTTTTTGCCGTTGGATAGTGACATTTGGTCCCAATTTCTCACCAATGAAACCCTAAAATTTCTAATTTCTTGGCTGAACAAATCATAAATCGAATTTGAGAGGGAAGAATGTGAGATTGCAACTTTAATTGAAGCGATAGAGCAACTTGACCTTTAAATCGAACTTTAGTGCATGTTAAAACCTCAAATCTCCAAAAGTGCACACATTCACTTACCCGTACTTTTTGCATGCAAGAAATCGCCTTCATGGGTTCGCCCCTTAATCCATGACATCTTCAATCGAGCCCTCCTCATTCCACATCCGCGATTCAAGTTCTCCATCCCCGACTGACTCGGGCTCTAAAATACGAAAACCCCCGCTCCATCTTCTTTTCCAATTTCTTTCTCAAATTTCCCCTCTCAAAACGACTTAAATTTGGGAAATTTATCCTACGGACCAAAATGCCCCTGCGCGACGGTAACAAATGAGCACACGGCTGTCACGTGATCGCCGGGTGGTGGTTTTAATCGCTGGCAATGAGGCGGGAAGGGGTCGTTCGGAACACGGTATTCAATTTGGGGTCATTTGAGATAAGCGCCACTTTGAAGTTTCTTATGAGAAGATGGGTCCGATCAGGGGTGTTTTAGGTGTTTTGAATATTTCCCCTTTTTCTTTTCTTTTCTTTTTTTTTTGGCCACCGGTATTGGAGAACCTACGATCCAAGTCGGTCTCAAAAAACTTCACAAAACGAACGACCGCCACCCCGCCAGAGTCCCCTGCCTCTCCGACCAATGTCAAGCCCCGGGAGGTCCAAGCACTTCGTCGCGTTGACCCACCCGCTCATGCGCAAGCTAGACTCGTGCTGTAGCATCGTAGAATTCAACCAAGTCCACGCTCAGCTCGTCGTCTCCGATCTCTCCGACCACTATCTCGCCACCAGCCAAGCCGTGAAGAGGCTCTGCGCTCTGCGCGCGGTCGCTCGCGCGGTCCTGTTCTTCAAATCTACCCGTGAGCCCGATGCTTTCATGTGCAACACCATCATGAGGACTTACGTGGGCGGGAAGGATGCGAGTAGCGCCATGAGGTTTTATCGGGATGAGATGGTGGGTCATGATGTCGTGCCCAATCATTACACGTTCCCGGTTGTTTTGAAGGGGTGTGTGGGAATTGGGTCGTTGACGGAAGGAGAAAAGGTGCACGGCAGGGTGTTCAAACTTGGGTTTGAGCTAGATTTGTTCGTGACGAACGCCCTGATTTACTTGTACTCGGCTTTTCAGAAGACCCGGAATGCCCGCTTAGTGTTTGATGCTGGGTCTGTTCTGGATTCCGTCAGCTGGAATACGATGATCGATGGTTATGTGAAAAATGGGGAAGTTGATTCTGCACGTGAGCTGTTCGATGAAATGACTGAGAGGGACGCTGTCACTTGGACCTCGATGATAGGGGGTTACATTGGGAGAGGGGAGATGGAAGAGGCGAGATGTTTGTTTGATAAAATGCCATCTAGAGACACCCCATCGTGGAACTGTATGATTGACGGGTATGCAAGGATTGGCTGTTTTTGGGTGGCTCTTGAGTTGTTTAATTCAATGCCTTCCCGGAATGTGACCACTTGGAATACCTTGTTGGATCATCTTGTCCGTCATGAGCACTATAGGGAGTGTTTGAGTTTGTATGATACTATGCTACAAGAGAGAGAGATTAAACCCAATAAGTTCACTCTTTTGCCTGTTTTGACTGCATGTGGCAATCTGGGTGACCTCGATAGAGGCCAAATAGTCCATTCCTACATCGCGAGAAATGACATTAAGGCTGATGTGGCACTTTCGACCGCTCTATTGACAATGTATGCAAAATGCGGGGCTGTGGATGTGGCTAGGAATCTGTTTGATCAGATGCTTGATAGGAATGTTGTATCATGGAATGCTATGATTCTGGGGTATGGAATGCATGGGCATGGCGAGAAAGCCCTAGATATGTTCTTGGAGATGGAGAAGAGAGGTCAAGTACCTAATGGGTCCAGCTACGTCAGCATCTTATCTGCCTGCAAACGCGGTGGGATGGTTTTGGAGGGTTGGTGGTGTTTTGACCTAATGTCTCGAGTTTACAAGATTGATCCCAAAGTACAGCACTATGGTTGTATCCTCGAGCTTCTTGCTATGGTCGGGTTGATGAAGGAAGATATAGAAGAGTTGGCAAAAGAAGTCCCAAAGGGGGCTGGATCTACCTATTCTACCACTGAACTAGGAGAGCTTGTGGCCGAGCGATTGATCGAGTTGGACCCGACTGATGTCGGGCCCTATGTGCTCTTGGCAAACATGCACGCAGCAGAAGGTAATTGGGACTCTGTCGAGAACGTCAGAAAGATGATGAAGGAAACAGGTTTGCAAAAGGAAGTCGGGTCTAGCCTCTTTCAACTTGGAGGCATCGAGTCCAAAGATGCCAAAAAAGATAGTTTGCCCCATCGAAGAGTTATGATTTATTCAATGTTGAGTGAGCTAGGTTCTCATTTGAAAGTGTACTGTAGAGGCGATAGAGTTGTAGGGGAACTAACATTGTGTTTGGTGGAGTTGATTAGAAAGGAAAAGGAAGATTTTAAATAATGAAAAAGTAGAAAATGGATGCTGAGGGTTGAATTACAACATTGCTTGGATACTAGCGAGGCAAAAGCATGAAAAGGAACACATTATGACCTAAATATCATTTTAGGTTTCTAGAATTAGAGGAGCGGATGAGCGGCGATGGCGAGCCCCGATGAAGACAACGGGGGCGATGGTCGAGGCGATGTTGACGCAAGGTGATGCAAGGTGACACCGGGTGCGTGCAGCAACGGGCGTGTGTGGCGATGGAGGTGGGGCTCTCAGCCTCAGGCTGAAGAAAGAAGAAAATCCGAGGGGAGAAGGATGGAAAAGAGGGTTGGGGATGGATTCTATTTGGGGAATCATAGGCCGCGGCTGCGTTGTGCGCAGATCTAATTCTTACCCTTTTTAAACTCCTTAATCTTTCTCCCAATGCCTTTTACAAACAGACTACGACAACAGGTGAAAGTGCGACTTTTGAAAATGAGAAAGATGAGCCACTTTCATTTGTGAATTAATTTGTGGCTTTCAAATGTGCGTGGCCGTTCAAACTAGTGATTCTGAACAGCAAAGGATAGGCTCCACGGTTAAGGAACGAGCTTGGGCATGTAACTCCATATTGCAAGTTCGATGCCCTCTGCCCGCGGGCATAACTGTCCATGAAAAAGAAAGGGTTTTAACATTAAAAACACGTGGATTGATCTTCAACGTTAGACCCAAGTATTGATTCCTAGGATAATCAAGACCCAGCCTCAGGTGAATGTGCGGAATTTTGATAGGTTATGACATCATGTAAATATCATAGTCACGTCTCTTAACAAAGTAACGAGAAATTCTATATAAACCCTTTTTGTCATTTCATATCGAGGCACATCCACGAGAATTTCTCTTGTTTTTCGAAATTCTCACTCTTCTCGTTCTTCTCAAGATCTCTCAAACATTTTGGTTGATTGCATATGGTTCTATTAAGTAAAGTTGATGGATCATTCTACAGAATCCGACATTTATTGCTTCATCCATAGTACATGAATTTTTCATCCAAATCTGGAAGACTACATATTAAGCATTTCTCTAGCTAAGCCATTGTTCATCTCCAAGGAGAATAATTATTCTATAACTCATTAAAAGAACAAGAATGCTCATGAGCGACGATTTCTATTGAACATCCTACAAAACAATCAGCTGTACTTCCACGGCTTCTTACTATTAGCTGATCTGCACTCCGGTATCGTATGTTTCTCCAGCTTTCCAGTCTTGATGTATGTTGTTGACAGGAACCAACCATGTCTCGTCTCCATCATCGCTGCTGAGCAACATCCTCAGGGACAATGGACCACTAGGGGGCGAGGTGGTTGTCCAAACTGCACCATAGTTCCGGTCCAGGAGCTTGCAAACAAAGTTCTGAGTCTGGCCAAATTTTGATAATATAAAGTCAGAAATACCATCGTCAAAGTACCATTGCTATTGAGTGTGGTTCATTGTAGAGCAATCGTCAGCAAATTTTTGTTTTTTGATGCACACGATTCCAATTTTTTCTGTAAGAAGCCGGTGTGGATGACTGTTTGACATGAGAGAAATCTTGCCAAAAGCACGGAAAATGCGAGATTAGATGGACAAGATTGACTTTAAACAAGTTCATATATCTTATAAACCTATGGTTTAGGTTAACTAGTGTCGCATGCTCCTTCATGCAACAACAGGAACAAAATCACACAAATTGACGAATGGACAGGACATATCAGCACGAATTGTTAGGTTCATAAGGATATAAATTTGATTTTCAAGACAAAGGGGATGGGTTTATCTTCTCCCATAGAATGACAATAAATGCAAATTTTAGCTTCTAAATGTCTGAAAGTTCATGAGGATCTGAAACGTGGTTGCAAGGTGGTTCATGGTTCCTCATGGAATTGACTGGTTTGATAGGTGTTACATGGAAGAGGGGTCAGTGCATATTATGAAGTACTTGTTGTTTGATGTTCGAGAGCAATCTTTGATAGAAAATGAGTGTTACCTCGCATAGCTGCACTGCGGTGATGTCCTTATTGCCCTGTTGATACCATATCACAAAAGCCAAATAATGGGGATTATTGCTGCTCTCGTCGATCTTGATGGTTATATTCTTGTTTGGGTAGCTGCAGGAAACACTGTGGAAGATTTGAGATTCTTGGATTAGGTAAAACCTTCATCTGCATGCCGTTTAACTTCTCGGCACATCATCTTGGAATTATTAGGTGTTACTTGTACTGTGGACAGGCATCTCTAAGTTTTGTTAAGAATACACTCTTTGGCAAGAGCTTAACCATCATACCAGAGGTATGTGTATAAGAAAAGATTTCCAGTTGCCTCTTTTCTCTTATCTCTGGTTTTAAGCATAAGCTATCACAGATCCACATGCTACAGTTAAAAACTTTCCAATAGTGTACATATCAAGCACTATCTATGGTCTCACCGTCTATATTCGATGTCAACAACACCAAGTGCAGATAAGTAGCTGGCTGCATCGGCGGTTTGAGCCATTTGGCTGTAGGCACGTTGGCTTAGAATGAAATCTGTGCGATCCCCTGAACCTTGATCAGTTATAACAACGGTTACACCTTTATCCGAGCAGTACTTACTGCTGGTGCACCTCACCTGAAGTTGTTATCCATGTATTAACAACTTTTACATCCTCATAATCACTAATTATAGTATGATATTCAAAAAATTCGGTTAAACAGGATTCTCACCTGGTAGCAAGCGCCACAACCAACACCGCTGCGATAGAGATCAGATGCTGCCGACACATCCCCGCCATTAATCATAGCTCCAAATGAACCAAACCCACATGCCCCAACTGCGGTTGAAAATATCCATTTGTCAAGCATTCAATTTATCATAGTATCTGCTACAAAAATCTACAATTTTACTCATTCTAATATTCCTTACTTTCTGTTCCTTGTTGACTCGAATTCGGGTAGTAGGAGGCACGAGAAGAGACAAAGCAGTTGTTGCAGGTTGCACCGTTGGCCGGAGTTTGCATGAGAAAGAGGGTGGCTGAGAGAGAGAGAAGCAACTTGAGCTTAAGAGCCATTATGTGAAAGCAGAACCAAGCAACTCTCAAGCCCAAGAAAAAGAATGCGGTGGTGCAAGAGAAGCAGTGAGCTTTCGAAATATTTATAGAGAACATTCAATTGGTCTGGTAAAAAATTTCCAGCTTTGACATTCTGCAAGTAGTATTGACTTAAATGAAGTAGACCGAAACACAATCCTTTACAGCTAATAGTTAGACTTGCAATTTCGTCTTTATGGAAATAGCGTCCAAATGTGCTTTTCTGACTTGAAGAATATTTCCTTAGTGTTCCATTCTTCCTTCTCTTCTTGTGTTCAAGTTTCCTTGCGTAACGATATAAAGTCATTGGGTCAAGCTGTTCCCATTGTGAAAGTTCAAATTAGTATGCATGTTCTTGAACCAATACAGGAGCGGCTATTTCACTCTTAAGTTTGGAATCAAGTTATGCTTAAACAGTAGAAGGAAAAAGAATTTGACTTCCAAAATGTCATCTAATGTATTCATGCTAGGGACAGTTGACTGCTAAGTGATTCTTACCTAACTAGCGGCATGCGTGAGAGAGAGAGAGTTTGACCTGCAAAATGTCATCTGATGTATTCATGCTAGGTATAGTTGACCGCGAAGAGATGTCGATCCTTACTAGGGGTGAGCATGGTCCGACCGGGAACCGCCCTTTGGTTTCATGAATCCACCCGAGAACCAGACCGTCGGTCCAGCCCGGTTCCCAGGTGGGTCCATGGAACCGGTCCCACTAGCCAAGGACGGAGACGGAAAGACGAAGACAGAGATGGAGATGGAGAGTTGGAGATGGTGAGGTGAGCATCGACCGAGAAAAGAGAGAGTGAGAGTGAGTGTGAGGCGATTGCAAAAGGAGGTGTTTCTCAACTCAATGTGAGATTGTGAACGTCGAATGAGTTAGGTTTAGTTTAGGGATTTAGGATTTTTCTTTTTTTAAAAAATTAAAATTAAATAAATATATTATATTTATTATTATATTATCAGTCCGATCCGGATGGGCGAGCGGACAGTTCCACGCCTGGAACCGGGAACCGGATCGATACCCACCGGTTTCCAAAAATTGGAACCGGGAACTGGACTAGTTCCCTTAGGAACCACCAGCTCCAGTTCGGTTCCGAGCGGTCCCAGGCGATCCAGGAGGTTCCCGGTTCTTTTGCACATTCCTTACCTACCTAATGTGTGTGAGAGAGAGAGAGAGAGAGAGAGAGAGAGAGAGAGAGAGAGAGAGAGAGAGAGAGAAGTCTAAAATGGCTATATGCTCTGACTGAGAAATTAGAGAGAGCAAGATTCAGAAGAAAAGAGAAGTCTGTTAGGTGGTGGTGCACTAGCAAAGATTTTTTAGGCATTTCTTGATTTTCCCACTGAAATCCTTTCGAGAGTCTAAAATGGCTATATGCTCTGCTATGTAGGTGGTGTTCATATTGTTCTCTCTGGAAGTAGGTATTATGTACTCCGGCAACTTACCTGGAGAAAAATTATGCAATCCTGTGTAGAACATGGGAAGAATCACTTGAACCTGAACATGAACCTCAGCACTTCACCTACTAGGTGAATTTGTGCGTATGCTGGGACAGGAAATCGACAAATTATCAGTGTGTTGAGTGATAGACCTAGCAATCCTGTGAATATGCTGCTTCCCTTCCAAAGTTGATGAATCTGGCTGAAGTTGTAGTGCGAGTGCTGCAGCCTGGGTGCTCTCTCCTCCAAACACCATCCAAATCGAGGTTGTTCTCTCATGAACATTTATTTTCTTTTCTTATCTAGCTCTGTTATTGCGCTACACACATCAAACTGAAAGAGTTGCGAGGAATATAATTCACATTATCTTGTCCCAACAACATGCACATGATCATAACACGCGGATAGATAGTCTACCCGGCTAGTCTACACGAATTTCCTCTATTCAGTTCAAAATGTTAAGGTGATTCTTAAATATTAGTATCGAAGGAATCGAGTGCTGATTAGCCAAGATTCCTTTATCTTTTTGGCCAAATAAGCAATAATTAAAATGTGACTGCTTTTTTGAGCGTGTCCCTATTCTAGCTAATCCCCCTTGATTGAACTTTGAATATTGGGTAGCGGACGTCTTAAGGCAGCCGAATCGGACTGATTTGGGCATTGAACCTCATCAGCAATGACTTGGAAACCATGATGAGGTTATAGACCCCGAGTCCCCACGCACCGTCAACAAATTGTCATTTCTCAATGATGAAACTTAGCGAACAAAGAGCCAAAGCAAGAACTATGTTTAGCCTTAGAGGTGGATATATTTACCATTAGTGCAAGATGTACACTGTTTTACTCCCGATGTCATTCTCATCCGCAAGGAGCCTTGGAGTTTCTTCACACTAAAAAATTGAACACCACATCGGCATATCGTAACAACTCCTCTTTTAAATGATATGCAACCGGTTTTAGGGTGGGTCGGTTCCCACCCTAGAACTCGGAACCGAACCGAGCAAGGTCGGTTCCTAACTTGTGGAACGGGGAATCGGCCGACCTGGTCCTAGAATTGGACCAACTAGTCCGAACAGGTTCCAAGGTCGGTTCCAAAACCGGTGATTCCTTTTTTTTTTTGGATTTCTTCTATCCCCTACAAGTGAGAGTTTCCCAGCATTAACAGAAAAAAAAAACCAAAAAGAGATGTTTATATGATTAGGGGTGTGGTGCAAATTAACAATCAACTAAATTATCGGGGTGCGGTGCTAATTGACGATCGACTAGTCTTCCACTTGGTTTTGTAGTCATTACCCCATTACATGACATTGTATCAAGATGTGTTAAATAATGAAAAAATGTACGTATATAAACATACAAAATTATGAAGGAATGTTAGGGTTTGATTCTATATATATATGAAAGTCATTGCTCTATTTAAGTGAAAATTAGAACGTAATTTACTAATTTAAGATTTGTTTCAAAATAAAAAATAATAATAAGTAATATGAACCGGTCCGATCGGTTTCTTACGTGGAACCAGGAACCGGACCGGTTGTTCTCGAATCCAAATTTTTGCAACTGAAAACCACCCAGAACTGACTTGGTCCGGATCCCAGGTTGGACCCTACCAATGCCCGCCCCTATGCAAGCCTGGCCAAGTCTCTGCCATAAATAGTCTTCGGTATATATCGGACAAAAAACAGTCATGGAATCCTCATGACTACGCCGCACAAATATGGACACTCTTTTACTTTCTTTGATATGATGCTCGTTCGTTGTCAGAATATTTTTCCTCAATAAGCTAGTTTACGCATGCTAATCTTTTGTGCAGATTCGAATTAAGTACGATTCTCCTGATGGCTACAAAGAGAAGATGCAGAGAGATGCCATTACAGCGACAGCATTTTTGTTCAGATAACAGTTCATCCAACTGTTAACATCTGAGTACCCATCCAAGCCGGAGTATACATATGTACACCACTCAAAAGTACAAGCGACAAGCCTAAAAAATTATAACAAAGTACATATATTCATCGAGACAGCCCGAGCCATTCATCTATGCCACGAGCCACGAGCGATCTTCATCATCAAGCATGCAAATCTTTTCATCTTGACCAAGAAACTGAGTCTATCTCGTCCCGAGCAGATTTATATAACTCGAGCCTCCTGGTGCATTGCTGCCTTCTTTCCATCAGTGCAGGATCTTCATCCAACAACTGAGCAAGCTGATTGGCCTAGAGGATAGAAAATGAAGTAATCTGTGATCATGTGGCAAAATATGCACTGGCATTATCATGTCATGCTGGTGATTGTGAGTGACAAATTGATGAGACATATACCTCCGTTTTGCCCAATTGAGTATAGAAATGGTCTAGTAAAGATCGTTTTGCTTCTCTCACTTGGCAATGGACCACAGCCTTTGGGATCGTGTTCCTCAGCGTCTCAGAAACCATCCCGACGTAAGAGGATACATTTGATCCGATCCTACGGTAATGCCCCTCCGAGTACCGATCTGCAGAATTGGCAGCTTGATTTCCTCCCTTTTCTGCTTCCTGAGGGAGTCTCCTAAAGAAGTCCACTGTCAGGTATGAAGATTCCATGTCCACCAGCCGCAAAGTTGTCTTCTTGCTGTCTTCACGGAACCTCTCCAGTGCTTCACTCGCAGCTGCTCGGATTTCCGCTTGAAGAGTTGGAAAACGCTTCAATTCCTGCTTGAATAAACCATTCCATAAGGTTTATGCTAAGACAATATCAGAACCTTCTGCATAACCTATTTCAGACCTGACCTGAGTTTCTCCTATGGATATTCTCACAAGCTCCTTCAAGATGAAATGAACCTGCAATAACAAATGATAAAGGGTGAAGAATTTATTCAGCAACAGAAACAAAAGAGTACTCCACGACGGCACTTACAGCATCCACTGATGCTTCAGCTGGCCCTCTAAAATAATTAAGAGCGCCATCAATAAGCCGTCGATAACCCTGCTCAGGAGCGACAAGATGAGGCTGGTAGCCATCTGCCTCTGACACCACCTTCCTCACATTTTGCAGTGACAGGTGCCGATCGAAAGGAAGCTTTCTTAAAGCGGCAGGGAGTTGATTGTCAAAAACACCATAGATTCTAGCACCACCAGGTCGTCTAAGAAAACTCAAATTAACAAGAAAGAATCAGAATTCTAGCTTCTCAAGACAACTTCTAACTTTAATGACACTAATCACACGTATCCAGTTATAAGCATATCCAAGCAGAAAATAGCGCAAAATTTAGAGATAGTTGCTTCTGAGAGCTGTGAAAAATCAAAGAACAAAATTAGTAATAGTCTGCCTCATCTATTTTCAAGCACAGTGATGTAATATGATGATAAAAATGATTACACCATGAAGAAGCTAAAAAAAGGAGATTAGTTGAAAGAAAGAGAGCACACTATTACCCTCCTTCCAAATGCTCCTTGAAAATTCGGTCAAATGCGCGGCACAACTCTAATATGGTGTATAATTGGGCCTGTAAAATGCCAATCATCAAAACTTAATGTTCATGCAGAACCCATACCTATCCAGATGTAAGAGAAAAGGATGGTCAGAAATTCCTCACCCCAGCATCAGCAGCCACAGATCTACCTAGATGATTCAACTCTGCTTCAAGTTCATCAATTGTTTTATTGATCAAAGATGTTATGTCCGGTATGCGAGCTCTAATGACAGACTCTAGATGCTGAGACCAAGTCAAGTTCCATCATGTAGACATCTCAATAAAAATCTTCGGGAAAAGTCCCAAGGTCAAAGACTCAAGCAGGTTATTGTTAAATGGGGGGAAAAAAGAGGAACCTTCGAAAGGAGTTTGGCAAGGTACTCTGAACCCATTCTACTGGCCAAGTGTCCATAATCAGGGCTTGTTGCAAAGAACTCACGTTCCTTCCTCCGAGCAAAGATCATGTCGACACTCCTATTTATATCAGCTTGGGAACGGTTCACTATACCAACCCAAGGGTGTTGAAGCCGATAAGACCTTCCTTCTAGGACCTTGTAACAACCCCAAAGGTAAATGGATGTGAGAGAGAGAGAACTAATGCTTTAGGATCAGATACCAAGATTAAAAGGTTTATAGCGTAAAATCACTTACCTCAATGGCATTAGTTCCCTTGTCCATCAAATCAAGCTTTGTCAAGACGCCAAATGTTCTCTCACCTATGACCATCACAAAGTTATTCAAAGTTCCATGCTAGGAAACCATTTGCATAGGCTGTACCTGAAGGATCAACTTCTCTTGCGAGCTTGATCGAATCAGATGTAGCAATATCTTGATTCGCTGGAGTAATGGCCAAGATAATGCAATTTGGCTACAACAAAGAGAAAAAAGGAAACTAACTAATGCTGGAGTTATGGCCAATATGATGCAGTTAGGCTACTTATATGCAATTAAACCATGGCATGTAAATTTTGACATAACAGAAGCTATTTCAATTCCAAAGGACACTGATCATGATGAAAAATGAACAAAAACATGTATTGTCAATATAGCAAATTCCTCGAGTCAACTTGATCCACGTGATCCATGACATGATGGGTTAACCATGAAAATGTCTACATATAAGACAGACTTTGAGCTTTAAGGAGATTTGATAATATAATTTGACAGTGATATTCGAACTTCTATGAGTCCTAACTCCAATACCAGTCATTCCTACTAGTTTACAAGGTAGTACATTATCAGGCCATTACTATCGTGCAAGAAAGTTGAGCTCACAAGTGTGACAAACGTGACCAGAATAGGGATTGCTCTCACTGACTTTGAGCTCATGGGACCTTCCTAGTAGATCATAATTCATTATGTGGAAAATAATTCTTTTAATATGATCGAGAATCTAAATTTATCTCTCTCAGAAACTTAAACCTATTACACCTGTTGCTAAGGACCCTTTTATTTCAGAGAGAAATTGCTGGACCGAGGTCAGCTGCCTAGAGCTAGACTAGCAAGAATTAGAAGGAAGTTTTCCGACCGACGACAGCTCAATACCACAACTGGGTACTTCCAGCTGACAGGTCCTTACTTAGATATCTTCTCTTGTTAACTTTAAAGGGACACTCATCATGATGAAGTATGAACAAAAATATGTATTGTCAATTAAAATAGTAATTTTCTAATGTCGACTTGAGCCGTGTGATTCAAGACATGATGGCTTAACCAGGAATCTGTCAACCTAGAAGACACTCTTTGAGCTTTAAGAAGATTTGATAATATAATTCTACAGTGATATTCAAACTACTATGCGTCCTCATTCCAATACCAACCATCCGTACTAGTTTGCAATGTAGTACATTATTCGGTCAGTTCTATCATGCAAAATAACTGAGCTCACCAGTTTGACAGAGGTAACCATAATTAGGGATTGCTTTGACCGACTTTGCACTCAAGGGGCCTTCATGATAAATCATTAATTCATTATGTGGAAAACAATTCTTCTAATTTGATCGAGAAATTAAACTCATCTCTCTCAGAAACTTAAACCCGTTACAACAGTTGCTAAGGTCCCTTTGATTTAAGAGATAAACTGCCAGACCGAAGTCAGCTGCCTAGAGGTAGACTAGCCAGAATTAGAATGAAGATTCCGACCAACAACAGCTCAGCACCGCAAATGGGTACTTCTAGCTGATAGATTCTTATTTACAGATCTGCTCGTGTTAATATTTCCAAGATTCACCAGCAAAATTCAGTTAAGATATAGATGCCGTAATGTACATACAAGCCTTTCTTCTTTAATTTCCTTGATAAGGAGAGTTATCGAAAGTAGAGAGCATCCTTGCCATAGAAGTGCAAGTTTTGATATACAGGCAGAAACATATATCTTACCTTTTCGACATATGACCGAACCATAGTTTCAATGTCTTGAACGATACTCTCTGGCTGTCCCTCTATCCGCAATAAAGGATATCAAATACTTTGGAGATCAGTAAATCAAATACGCAATATAAAGCTTAAAGAAATGCATTTCACCAGAAATGGCTGTGTTCACAAACATACCTACAGCAACTTTGGTCAATCCAGGCAAATCTATCAAAGTTAAGTTGACAACTGCCAGCAAAAAGAAGCTGTCAGATAACTCTAGAAATGAGACAAAGAATATTTAAGAAGTTATCAAACTGAATAATGAGAACAAGAATACGTTTTTTCATAAAAGAATTACAGAAACGGAATATGGATCCAGATGAAAAATAAAGGGGGGGGGGGGGTTGTTGGGGGGGAGATGTATCTAATGCACATTGTCTTATAAAACAAAGTGAAAAACCAAACTTTTGAGAGGCGACTCCAGCAAAAAAAAAAAACATAAGTATGACTGTTATAGGGTTAGATCTTGTGACCGTTCAAACAGACCAACTTTTTCCAACTAGAGAGCAAGGATGAATTCTTGCCCTCGCTCATATCTTGTATCCTACTGCCACCACACTAGTCCATGGGCCTAAATCATGAAGATGCTGTACTTAACGCTCCATTAATCCCTTCCAAGACACTACCGATATTGATAAGACTGGGATTCAGACATATTTTCAGGAAGCTGCTCACTGTTGCTTCTGGAACCACTCATAATTGCTCCTTTACATGGGCAAGTAAAAGTACCCGTATAATGAATGATGCATCCCAGTAACTAAAACGCTGTGGTCCAGAAAAAAATGATTGACAATCTACAACTGTTAGATTTAAATTTTGGACGTTATTACCATTTGGAGAATATATGCTAAGATGGATGGGAACCGGGGATATCTGTTTCGACTTTCCAGTCAATCTATCGGTCTCATCTTGAATTTCATTGCGAACCACAGCTGCATAAGAGCAAGCAAGAGTCAGACAAACTGCTCCTATTGACACCAAACTCAGAAATGCCAGAGTATGTAGAGCACTATCAATCTCATTTCACACAATTTTAGAAACAAATTTTGCAATCCAAGTGACTGTTGATCAGAAAGGAACATAAAAGGAAGTCGATCCTTCACATAGACTAAGATCTACAACCAATTCAACATGCAAGAAAACAAAATTTAGGACAGCTCTAAGCTAACCTTGTTGATTAAAGTACCAGAACCGCCAATGGCGTGCATCTTTAATGTGGACATCAGGCAAACTATCACATGAATGAGCAGATAGACAGCTATCACAGGCAATCTAAAGGTGACAAATGACACTGATCTTGGAGTCACAACTCAAACTTAAAGATAGCAAGCGAATTACTCATATCAAGTTAAGTGTGAAAAAAGACAAAATTGCAGATGGTCTCAAGAATCCCAACTTGAACAGTGGGGTGTAGATTTGATCTCAAGATGCTTCACTAGGCCAATGCCATTGCATTAACTCCCACTGCCATCATAAAATAGTTCGCTGAAAGCAATACTTCCGGATGCAGTAGTGAAGGTTCATGAATGGAATCGCTTTACCCAAAAAGCTTCAACATTTTGGCCCTTTTTTTTCTTTTTGCTGATGGTGCTAACATAAGAAAAACTCAACAAGTTCAAACAGCAGATGTGTGATATCGTCATTCCAACAAAAAGCTGACATACAGAAGTCGGTGAATCTTTTCTTTGGCAAATGTAGAAATTCTGCATATTCTTGTAGACCAGACTCTGTCTTATGCAGCTGCAACACCAGAGGCCGCCTGGTAACAATTCCTGGAAGCAAGTGACAAGAAAAAATAAGAACCCAGAAGGCTTGGACTGAAGATTAAGGAGTGCCAACACGAACTTCAAAGCACCTAATTCTAAGATAGCATTATCATATAAAATCTAGACGAATCAGTTTCAGCTTGATTGAAAACCAGAGGTACAGCACCTCCAACCCACTTGTTCAAATGCTCCATCGCGTCTCTTTATAAACCAATTTCACAAACTGGACCGAGCATCCCTAGCATTACATGCCAATTTCAACGACAACGGATAGAGAAAGGGATTCTTTTAAGATCATTCGTGTCTCCCTTCACTAATTGCTAACCCAAAAGTAACGCGAAAGCAACTAGCAGCTATATAAGCACATACCTGAACCCCGAGGGAGAAAATCTCGGCCAACAATGCTCTCCAGCACGGACGATTTACCCGAGCTCTGCATCAATAAATGTCAGCCACGACACCAGCCATCACAAGGCCACTTCAAAACGCCCAGTTCAAAAACTAAAACCCACAAACATGTACTGACATATGCACGCCACAAGAGAGAGAGAGAGGGAACCTGGCCGCCGACGACGGCGACGGAGGGAAGAGCCTCCCAGAGGGTAGGCAGGGCGCCGCGGCCGCCGCCGTGGTCGCCGAGGACCGTGCAAGCGCGCTGAATCCTGTTGACCAGGCCGATCAAGCCCTCCATGGTGGCCATGCGACAGGCAGGGGAAGCGGGCCCACCTCTGGAGCACGAGCTCGAGCTCGAATTCGAATGGATAAGAGGGAACACGAGGACGAGTGCGGTGATGGCGATGGCGATGGCGATGACGGAGATGGAGAGAGAGACGGAGCAGAGAAGAGAGAGAGCTATCTTCGCTGCTTTTTGCTTGCCTTCTTAAAAAAGCGATTTTTAAAAAAATTCCTGAGTGCGACGTTAGAGAGTGAGGATGATAGAGATGAATGTTGGTGGGCGCGCCTGGTTTTGTTCTTTGATTTTGGTTGTCGGACCCGTGTGCAGCTTTTTCAAAATTGAGGTGGTCAGCCAGAGGTCAACTCATTTTCTCTGCTGTTTTGACCTTTTTGGTTTAGCTCCAACAAAGAGTCGATTAGATATATGCTCGTGTAATGTAAAAAGCTATGACAAAATTTATAAACGATTTCACATGTTGATACATTTTCAGCCGTATCATATTAAATTAAAATTATAGTTTCGAGGGATGTAAAGTTTAAAAAGAAAGAAATTATTTGAAAGAAATCAAAATTTGTAAGGATAACAATATAAATGGTCCATAAATTTTGATTTAATATGCAATGTCGTTCTGAACTTTTAATTTATTCAATGTGGTTCCTGAATTATTTAATGTAAAACTTTAATTCAATGTATAACGTCGTTCTTGAATTTTTTATTTTCAATGTATAACAGTTCAATATGATTCATAAATTTTGACCCCAATGTAAATAAAAAAGGTCAAAACAAAAGAGCAAATGAGTTGACCTTAGGCTGACCGCCTCAATTTAAAAAAGCTGCTCGTGGGTCCAACAACAAAAGGCTATGACAAAATTTATAAATAATTTTACGTGTCGATACCCTTTTCAGTTATTTCGTATTAAATTGAAGTTAGAGTTTCGAGAGACGTAAAGTTTAAAAAACAAGAGAAATTATTGTAAAGAAATCAAAATTCGAAGAGATAAAAATATAAATGGTCCTTGAACTTTGATTTAACGTGCAATATCGTCCTTGAACTTTTAATCATGCTCGTGTCCTCTCATCACCATCTTAATTGTTTTTCTAAATTGCGATCCAAGTTTGATGGCAAGATGTGATCTCTGAATTTTGACCCAATGTCATATTTAAACTTTTAATTTATTTAACGTGGATTAAACATTGGCAATTTGGCACATTGAACATTATACATTGGTATTTTAGTATTTTTCCCTTTTTCTATATTTCCTTTTTTTTTTTCCGGGCCCCCGCCGCGAGGGAGGACCCTCGCCCCGCCCAACAGGCGCCCTCGCGTCGCCGACCCCATCAATATTAAATAAATCAAAAATTAGAAAGGAAGCTAAACCCTAGGTTAAGTATATTGGGTAAATGTGTCACAAGTCTTTGCACAAAAAATCGGTTCAAAGTTCAAGGACCTTTTTGAATCATTACATTAAATAACAGTAGTTGTTTGGATGAGCATTCTCATGGCTTTAAGTCATCTTATTACTGATAACCCACGTGTCTAGATATGTCAAAGTAACACTTACAAAAAGAATGAGATGACTTGAATGCTAGTGTTTATACATTTCTAATGAAAGAAATTCCTAAAGAATTGATTGCTAAGCGCTTGAAATGTGTACTTTGAACTCAGAGTAATCACAGCAAACCAACACGATAGAATAAATTCCATATCAGATGGCTGAATCATAGACAAACTTTGACTACTTCCTGTTTGTTCTCGTCTCACCAACCACCTTTCTCTATTGAGAATCAAACGGAGTTCAGGAAATGAAGGCTACAGCAAAAGACTTGCAACGAATTGGAACATTATGAATACAGGAAGTTTTCACCACCAAAATGCTACCTGCTAATTGACCTTTGCGCCGATTTGTCCTCGTATTCGATCGTCCCACCACATGTGGATAAATTATGCTCATGCTAAATGAAGCAATCTTGCTGAGTACGTCGCTGCTTTTTCTTGTATCAGACCATCAACACATCTCTGTGGTACCCCCGGCAACCTCAGTGACATTGGTTTCATCTTTTCTGGATTTAGCATCATCCAAGTAATGCTGATAGATGTAAGAAATGAAACCCCAGATTGCCAAAATCATTGCCATCACCTTAATCCCATCCATCTTGTCATGAAAGAATATCACCGCAAGAATCGGAACAACTGGCAATGCCAAGGTACTAATGACATTGGAAAACAGCGACGACACCTCGAAAATCAACCCGAGCAGACCAACCGAGGAGATCTGCCATGTCAGCGCTGTCCAAATTAATGTCATCAAGTATGACACTCTTCCCTCCTCATATACCTTCATCTCGTCGCCTAGTTTCCTCCACTCTCCGCTCGCAAAAAGCCCAACAACGCAGGAGCAAGTCGCCACAAAAGACGTGTATATTTGCATATCCAACACAGCAGAAAATGTTTCTCTCTTGATCACTTTCTCGAAGGAAAGCTGAACTAATGAAAGGTACAACGAATATGTCGCAGATGCTCCCAGGGTACACAGGAATCCGATCACATACTTCGCTCTCGAGATCTTTGTGGTGTCCGAGTCCGAGTGAACCGCGAGGAGCGAGGCTGACACGGTGAGCAGAACGAGGGAATTGAGAATGAATGGGGTGAACTTTTGGGAGTTAAGGAAGAAGGAAAAGAGTGCATTGAAGGCCAATTGAGTTGCACACAAGAGAGAGTAAGTAGAAACGGGAAGATAGAGCAGACCGTATGAGTACATCAGGTTGTCACCAGTCAAGAGCAGGCCAAAGGTGAGGTAGACGAAAGCTAAGGAAGAGAGCTTTGGTTTGGTTGGAGATTGAGTTCTTGTAGACTTGGTTGACTTGGAAAACATTGGTGAGAAGAAAATTAGAAGAGGTATGAGAATCGGGAAGCCAGCAGATTGAACAAAAGTGGCCATCCATTTGCTATTACCGCCTTTGTCATAATACAATCTGCCCAAAAGGGTTGCCGCGGATTGGCCTGAGAGGAGGAAGACGATGTAGGCGGCTACCCGAATCAACCATTTGTAACTTCTGGTCCTTGGATGCTGAAGATCGTGGTTGTCCATATCCACAACAGGGTCTTCCTCATTCAATTTCGGTTCTCTGTGCTCTTCTCTCAAAGAATCAGTAAGAAAAAAAAAAGATTTTGCGGAGTCAACTTGGGTGCATTAAAATGGGGTTACAGTAATGAGGACATCACCAAAATACATCATGTATTCAAGATCGACTCAAAGTTCTCAAACTTTTGTACATTAGCGATCTTTTTGCTCAGTGACTAACCTCCAGTTTGTAGTTGCAGCTCTCTTGCAGCCTCCATGATGAATCATTAGAAGGATATGAAAGGCAAGATCTTTTTGTTGGATAGCTATATGAGACAAGTTGATTGCCACAAATAAGAAGGTTACTAGGAGCTTCAGCAACCTTTAAAAGAGATATGGAGGTTGAAAATTTGAAAATGATCACCTATACTTTCTCCATCACATTTGAAACTGGAAATATTCACTGTTGTGACCTCTTTTATGTGGCTGTTGAGGTGCCAAGTTACAAGTCGAGTCCGAAGCACCAATATTTAGTGAGGATCAGACCGAAGAAAGTCAAAAGTGGCTCCTTTCTAATGTCAAATCTTGGAAAACTAGCATCTTGCCTTGTTGAAATTTAAAATGAACTGCTTTTCCTTTGACCGCCTTTTATATACTTGTAATCTTTAGTTCTTTTTGGAAGTTCTACAGAATGCGACGTAATTTAGTGACGCACCAACACCATAACAGTCTAATGACGCCCCTCTATCTCGTATGTTCTGTTGAATCATACTGCATTTTCTCCGTGAGGAGCTATGTCTTCAATTATTTTGCTGTATCTACACTCGAAAAAGGGATGGCAAAGTTGAGGGAAAGTGCGAGGAAGATGCATGGCCAGGCCCACATGTAGGTTTTGTCATGTAGCAACTAGCAAGTGACAGAACAGAAATGACCTGTTATTATAAAGGTATGGTTTAACTATACAACAGTTCTTTCCTCAATTATTGGCTCTTTAAACACAAATTTCTCTTTGATGAAAAACTTCTGGCGAAATTAGTTTTAGTCGCATTTAATTAATGATAATATGAGTATGGTCATTAAAAGTTGTGCTATGGGGGGTAACTTCTGTGGAAAGTATAAGAAGTCCCACTGTATTGCTTAGCTTCCAGTACTAGCAGAGGCCAAGATATCATTGAGGTAAAACCATACTGGGTTGATGTTCAAAATATGAAGATTTATTTTCAACGCAAAAAATGTAGACTTTGGCTGGCTAGAAGAAGACCAACCTTTTGGTTTCTCCAAAATTAACTCCATCAGCCAATCTTGTTTGCTAAACAGTGTCATAGATTTATTTTCATCTCATGAGGGTGACATAGCAAGTAGCATCCCGACATCACAACAGCAACAGCATCAGAGAGAGAGAGAGTAGAACATCAAAGTCAAGTAGTACATTACTGCTTAAAAAGGGATACTTAAAGAAAGCAAGCGAATGATGCATAGAGCAATATCACACAGCTGAAACAGGTCATAATTCTCCTCTGACAGTGCACAAACTTCTCCTCTCTCTTCAAACCCATCCTCACATGTTGTTGCTGCTTCCATGGCCGCACTCACCCGCATGTTAGCAACCCCGTATTTCCCTACCATGAGAGCCCCAATTGCATCTACCAGCGTCTTCGATGCATCCGAGTAAAGCTCCAAGCAATCCCTCAAGCAATCCAACTGAAAAGGATCAAGACTCCCATTACTTAGCATTTTCTCTATGCTTGAGATGGTGGTGGTTGCATTTAACAGAGCTAGCTCCATAGAAATGATTCCTAGGCCTTGGAGGTTAGTGAAATGACTCACCGGGACGGCTTGGAGAGACAACGAACAGAAGGTGTAGTTAAAGACGGGTGATTCTTGTGAGCATTTTTCGCAGGTTAGGTTGACTATGTCCATGGTGTTTGCGCTCATTGTCAAGTGGGTTGTTGCTAGGAGAGCGAGCAGAGAGAAGAGGCAGCAGCAAGATGCTGGGGAGAACAATGAAGGATCCTGCATTTCTCGGTCATTAGTTGAGTGGATTGGGCAATATGTTCAAGCATTTATGAGCTTGTGGACATGGAGTTTACATTTGAAGGAAGCTTCCTTAGTGTAGCAGATTCTTGTACTTTGTACTTGAAAGAAAAACAAAAACAACTATATTACTGTTCAGAAAGGGGAGAAATTTTACAGGACCAGTACAACAGCTTAATTGGGATTTTGAAATCACTAACTCAGAGATTCTTAAGTCGACTTGACCTGCATAAACTGTACTTCTGTGAACCCTTATCGTGGGCAACCCACACATTTAAGTTTCTAGCGGCGCATAAATGGACATTAAATTAGGTATACCCGGTCTATATAAAGATTACATTATCAGAAAAGGCTAATCCTTCATCAAAAGCTCTGAATTTTATAACTCTTACATGTTGAGATTCTCGTGCTGCAATACAAATTATTAAGATCATTGTAGAACTTGAATTAGTCCAAGCGAATGTTTACAGCCACATCACTTACAGCCACAAACTGAACAATTAACAGCTACCATGTTCCTCGGTCTCGTATATATGCAGTAATTTATAATTACTACTAAATTACTCTTGCCTCAGACCTAGCCACAGGAGTCAATGAGTCAGAATGAGGTGGATGCTTTGTGTTGATTCTTGTTGAATTCAAATTGGAAAACTCGATTTTAACAGGATAACACAGACTGCCTTTGATATGTTGAAGGTGTACATTGTAAAGTCCCAGCAACTTCGGGAGAACATTCTACTGAGCCTTGCTTTGGTAATTTTTGTTTATCAAGTAACGCTTACCAAAATAATAATAAGGAATCAGTATCCAATACAATCCCTGTACTTTGAACAATCTTAAGAAACACAGAAGTGTTATTTTGATCAAGATATCAAGTATTGATGATTTAGTATAATTGGAGTGGATTCGTCGTACATCCGAAGGTATTATAAATATAAGTGTATGAAATTCTTTCCAAAGAAACACACTGAAATTGTTCTGTACACAAACTTCATCAAGCTCAAGCCCACATAATCACCAGCTAGAAAATGCGTCCAGTGTCGATCAATTTCAACGTAGCATTTCGATGAAAGCAAGGGAAATCGCATTCATTTGGACAAACATGTCGTTCTCTTTGGTCAAAGGAGACACTAGACCTTCCCTCTCTTTAAACCCATCTTCACAAGTGACTGCAGCATCCAACGCTGCACTTATATACACATTAGCTGTGTCATAATCTCTTGAACCGAAATCATCCACGACGCCTCTCAATGTAGAATTCGCATCTGAGTACAGCTTCAAGCACGTCGTCAAGCAGTCTCTAGCGAAATGTCCGAGTCTCTTGTTCTGGAGGAGTTTAGATATGCGGGAACTAATCTTGGTGGCATTTGAGATGGTGAGGTTGAGGGACATGAGAGTGAGATCTTCAATATTTGCGGGTTGGCTCATCGTGTCAGCCTCAAAACATGCAACGCAGAATTTGTAGCTTATGTTTGGATCACCATCAGCGGCTCTTTTGCAGCTCCCATGAACAATGTTGTTGTCTTGATCATTGGCCTGTGAAGGATGAAAGAGAAGGAAAACAAGAGTTGCTAGAGGCAAGAATGACTTCATCTGCTTTGTATTCAACTTCCTCTTTTTCTTCTTGGTGTTGGGAAATGAAGGAAATCTTTTGAGTCTGAGGAATTAAGGTGCATAATTTGATACTTATAATGAAGTGAAAAAGGTTCGGGAAATTTGGCAATTCAAAGAGTCTTTGTTCTTGTTCGGCAAATTCGGCAAAATAAAGAGCCTTTGTTCTTTCTGTTTTCTGTTGTGATCTTGTATTTGTCTATGGAGATACGTAAGTGTATTGGTTGGGGAAACTCAGCACGCAATCCATGCACATGCCTCATGCACGTATGGTGGAGAAACTATTTTCATGGAGCTTGCCATATTGAACCTTTCGCTAATTCAAAAGTCTAGCACATTTCACGGGCAGTTCTTAGCTTTTGCATAGAATGTTCTGTATTAAACCATTTCACAGTTCGTAATTTGAGTTTACAAGGGGTCATGTCTAGAATCATAAAAATAATCTCGATTACCCATATGATTAATTCTACTTTTGTGATCTATCTAATCTATCAGTTCAACTTTATATAATCATATCAACTTAAACTGTTTTTCATGTGTCGTGTATATGATCCACTAATTAATCATGAGGTCCGTAACCATCATCCTCACTGTCTCATCCTTTGAATGTCCTTTCACTATCTTATGAAGCTCTTTCATGGAGTTTTCCTATGGTCCAAGCAACCCTTCATATGTTTCTCTTCATATTTTCTTGTCGTTGTCCTTAATGTTATCTAGGCAACTAGGCAATCATCAAATATAATCCAACATTGCAAGTGCACAGTAGTCTTCAAAGCTAGATTCATTCTTAATTCAGCCATCCTTTTTGCATGTGGAGTATTGTGGCCATTTTAGACTACCCGCCCAAGCAGCTATCCTAAAGCATGGTTGTACACGCTCCTTCCTATCATTGAAATCTTACTCTCTCTTCCTATCGTTTCCTTTGGAGTATGGGCTCGATAGGGACCGTTCAACATGAACTGTTTCATAATTTATACTCGCAACACATATTTTTACGTTTTATAGCAATCACAAATTCGAGAGCATGAAATATTTGGTCATTATGGTTACGCGCATTGGAAGTTAATTTCCACTTTAATGAATCGACGGAGTCAAGTCATTACACTCTACCACGTGATTTCCTTCTATTCCCAAATGTTACATTTGGTCTAATGTCACTCAAATTTGGAATAAGCTGGTGTGTTTGTTTAATGGGTATGGCCAGCCGAACAAGTAATAGTGACCTGGAAAGGATATCGCTTTTTGAAGAGGTGGTCAGGACAGGAGTTCTATCAATTTAAGTTGAAGCCCATAAGTTTGTTTGGTGATATGGAGAAGATAAGCATGGCTGATGCAAGAGATGGTGTTTGTCGGAAAAGATAACGATACGAATGGTACTCGAACTTTGATTTAATGTACAATGTAATCCTTGAAGTTTTATTTTGTTCAATATGATTCCTGAATTTTAGTCTAATGTGTAATGTGGTCATTGAACTTTTAATTTATTCAATGTGGTCCATGAACTTTTGGTACACGTTCAAACGAGTCCCTAAACTGTATAAAAATGTTCACTATTGTCTTTGAACTTAAATTATTGAAAGGATAACAGTGAATATTTTCATATAGTTCAGGAATTTTTTTGAATATAAACTCAAAGTTCATAGACCATATTAAATAAATTAAAAGTTTAAAGATCACATTAAATATCAAATTAAAATTTAGAAACCACTTTGAACGAATTAAAAGTTCATAAATCATATAACACATTGGGCAAAACTCATGAATTATTTGTGTCATTTTCATTTGTTTAAAAGCACAAGTTTATCTCTTCGGACAATTTCTCCCCCGAGGACACATTTATCTTCCAGGGAAGCACAAGTGTCTGCTTCACTTGCAACGTGGCCGACCGTAGACAAAGCTCTCTAATTTAGTTTGGAGTTTGGACCGACTAAATAACACTAAGGAGACGAAGCAAGGCAACCACCGATTGCAAAAACATTCAGCTCGCGTTTTGCAACTGCGGTCAAACAACGCCCGGCGTTGAGCCGGAGCTGAGAGCGGAGTTATACGGGGCAAGAAGAAGGAGGAGGAGAAGAAGAGAACGATGTCGGCCTCATAGGTCGATCCGCACGACAAGATGAGGTCGAGGGACGTCAACAAAGTGGCCAAGGGCGAGCAGGCGCCTCAGCCCGCCCACGAGCCCAGCACCGTCTCGCGACCCCGTCCTCCCAAACAAGTGGACAAGGAACTCTCCAAGTCCAAGGTCCAAGATCTCTCCCTCCCGCGAAACGTTTCGAAGTTTAATGTGAATTCTGCACGGTACGAGTATGGAATGATTAGCTCGAGATTGAAGTCGTTGATGCTTTGGCGAGGCTTGAATTGTTGATTTTCTATCGTTACGGCAGAGGATATGAGCAGGAAATTCAGCGACGAGATGATGTGAATCATCACTCCGATAAATTACATTCTATTTAAGGAACAATATGGCACATGCAGAGAAAATTTTGTGCAAACAGTCGCGTTCACTCTTAATTTGAGAACCATGATTATCCATCCTCTCAGATCAATGGTGCATGAGGCCGTTTGTGTAAAGAAAAAATTGTACAGTTGATGTATGCCATAATTACTCTTAAAGATTTGGTTTAGGATCGGGCTAGGTAACATTATGATACGAAGGGTGCGTTTGGGAATGGCTTTGGGAAGCCACTTTGGGCATCTAAAGCTCTTTGGGCTCAAATATGGTGTTTGGGAATTTTTTTAAGAAATCCCATTGAGCCAAAGGTGGCCTTTTGAGGGCTAAAAGCCCAAGGTAGCCTCCTAGGTGCCTTGGCATTTTAGCATTTTCGGTAAGCAACGGTACCGATTAAGTAATAAACATTTCTTCTTAAACTACCCTCATCTATTTTTTTGATTTTCCGGTTTTGCCCTCGTTTGTCTCTATTCATCCTCTTCTCTGCTTAGCTCGGCGACGTGGCTGTGAGTGGACGTTGACGGGCCGGAGAGAGGCCAGTGTGGTCGCACAACCCAGCAACCGTCGCCTGGAGTTGCACAACCACCGCTATAGGCCATGCGACCCAAGCAAGGGCCACCTGAGGTCTTGCGACCTAGACGGCCCTCGCCAGGAACTCACACGACCTCAGAGAGGCGACGCATGATTTCGGCTGAGGTCGTGCTACCCAGACGACCCTCGAGGGACGCCGGCGACTTAGATCTAGTACCGGCGGCCGTCATCTGAGGCTGAACGACGATGGCAACCCCCGGCGACCACCAACGAGGGCCGCCTGGGGTCGAGCGACCCCCGACGAGGGTCGCGAAACCCAGGCGAAGACCGTCAGCCACCCAAATCTAACGCCGCGCGGCCGTCGTCTGAGGCCGAACGACCTTAGGCAGCCCCGGCAACCACAGACCAAGGCCGCCTTGCCTGAGTTTCGCGCAACCCTCGTCAGTGGTCGGCAGGGCTGCCCTCGTCGTTCGGCCTCATACGACAACTACGCGGCGTCAGATCTAGGTCGCCGGCTGTCCTCACCTAGGTTTCGAGACCCTCGTCGGGGGTCGCTCGACCCCAGGCGGCCCTCGTCGGTGGTCGTCAGGGGCTGCTCTCGTCGTTCGGCCCTAGACGACAGCCGCCGGTGCCAAATTTGGGTCGCCAGCGGCCGCCTGCCCTTCACCGGCTCTGGTGAAGGGTTTCAACTTTTCTTTAATAAAAAATAAAAAATAAGTGCCTTACAAGTATAATTTTTCCAAACTCTATTTTACCCAGAGTTGCTTTGCAATAGATTTTTAAGTTACAACTTACAAAACATAATTTTCATTTTGGAAAACTCCTTCAACTTAAAGTCCTTTGCATTTTGCCAAAGACTTTCCCCCAAAGTGTTTCCAAATGTAGCCGAAGTAATTGAATATCGTTGTTTGGACGAGTTGGACCAGTAATTCGATAAAGGCCCTTTAATCCTATATTAGCTTGCATGGTCCCTCCTTTATTACCGGAAAGCACTGCGGTTGAGCTACAGAAATTAGATGGATTGATTAAGGGTTAGTTCTCGGGTACTAGACTTTTAGATCTAGCAACTTTGTCAAGTATAGCACGTGAATTTTCATTGAAACACCCAATATGATCTGTCTACAAGATTCATAAAACTAAATTTGGTAGAAAGATTTGGTGTTGTTCTAGATTATGTTTACGTAAGTGTGGACCTGCATATACATATCTTAGACGCATGTACATTCAACGTCGTTTTTCGTGGACTCGTGTACCTTCTTTCCCCTAAAAGGGATCTGAACAGGACAAGCGGGACGATGAGGAGGAAGAGACGGTAGATCTTGAAACAACACCGGTGGACATGCGCTTTCCATTTACTAACCAAACGCGCCATTGTCATGTGCGATACCTCGAGTACCACAGGTAACCCTAGCTCGTGCGAAGCTTGGTTCGATCATATATTCATTAAGGCGTGCTCTTAAGGAGAAGCACGTTTCAAACACCAAACACCACCAGTCAGTTGCAGTGTGTGCTACTTATAATGTCCTAAATAAACCTTCATTGATTGCTGCCTCAATTTATTGGATAGATAGATGCTCTTGATATCACTTAAGTTTCTCATATCTGGTGAATCATGTCGAATGGGTAGGTGCATTCAAGAGAAGGGCGAGAATGCACCGGAATGCGAGAGATTCGCGAGACACTACCGGTCACTACGTCCTTCCGAATGGGTAAATGGGCTCGACACCTCATTCTCGGATCCTTCTGATCAATTTTCGAATTGGCTGTCCGCTTTGAAATGAATGTTGGTTTCCTGCAGATCGAGAGGTGGAATGAGCAGAGGGAACGTGGAACATTCCTTGGTCCAATCTAAGGTGGGGGGCTCTTGGACATTTTGGACATGTTACTTGGAGGCAGAAGAGCAGTCGAGAAGCAAGGCAAAAAGTCAACCGTTTGCTCCATGGGTGTAATAACTAATAAGTGTCTTTGTCGGGCCTCTGCTGCGAAAACCGCCTACAGGATCAACAAGGGCATATTCTGATAGCTTACGTCTTCACGCTATAGAGTCTTATAGAGTGTACTAGAAACCAGCCATATTCATCGTTTTCAGA